TCAGCCTGACAGATTTTCCTTTTCATTTATTGGAGTGTAGGTCTAAGAAGTAAATTCTCTCAGATTTTGTAACATCAAAAATGTCTTTATTTCACTTTGTTTTGAAGGATATTTTGGCTAGATTTAGAATACCAGCTTGACAGGTCTCTATTTTATTTCACTTTATTTTATTTCAGTCTTTCAGCGCTTCAAAGTTGTCCCTGCACTGTATTCTGGCCCCCATAGTTTGTGGTGGGAATTGCATCATTGTTTCCTTGAAAATAATACGTCATTTTTCTCTGCTAATATCGAAGGTCTTCCCTTCATCTTCAATTTAGGTTTTAGTAATTTTACTATCATGTTTCAAGGTGCAGTTTTATTTTTATTCATCCTGCTTAGGATTTGTTGTACTTCTTGTGTTTGTAAGTTAATGTTTTGAGCCAGTTTGGGAGGCTTTCAGCTATTTTTCCTTCGAATATTTTTTCTGATCTATTTTCTCTGTCCTCTCCTCCTGGGACTCCAATTACATGTATATTAGACTTACTTGATATTGCTTTGTAATTCACTGAGACTCTGCTCATTGTGTTTAATCTTTATCCTCACTGTTCTTCATATTGGATAATGTTTATTGGTCTGCTTAGCCTCTATTTGGTCATTTCCATTCTTCATTTAAGGCTATCTAGTGACATTGCCCTTTCAAATATTTTACTTTTCAGTTCCAGAATTTTCACTTGGTTCTTTTTAATCATTTCCATTTCACTGCTGAGTTTCCTCTTCTTTCAATTATTATGACCAAGTTTTCCTTTACACCCTTGGAAGTATTTTAATATCTGCTTTAAAGTTCTTATCTCAAAATTTCAACATTTAAGTCACTTCAAGGTCTGTTATAATACTTACTTTTTTTTCCTGACTATGGATCACAATTTCTTATTTCTACACATATCCTTTAATTTTTGCTTAGATAATAAATATTATGAATGATATGTTATAGAGAATCTAGATTATGTTTTATTCCTTTACACAGTGTTAAGGTTTTTTTGTTTTTTTTTTTTTCAGATAATTTACTAGCTGAACTTGTGGATACTTAGTGTTACACTTTGCTATGATCTATTTTGGTTTTGTCCTTAGTTTTAGGATGAATACTTTATTCTTAAGGCATGGCCTTTCTGAGGTTTCAAACAAAAACCCAAGGTGTTTGCCAAGTCCCCATAACTTGGATGAGATCAAAATTCCAAACTCTATAGGCAGTAGATGCTGGCAGCAGGCAGATGTTGAAATTGCTGCTCAGCTTTTTGGCTCTCTGGCTACTGTTTTCCATTGGGCTCAGTGGCACTCCTCCCACACATGTGCAGTTTACAAGTCATCCAAGGATGGAAGGGAATTTATATACAGAATTGGAGCTCTCTTTTCAATGGCTGCCTCTCTTCTGGAATTTCCGCCCTTAAACCCCACCCACTCTGGCAGCCCCGCACTCCACCCTCTGACATTTCATGAAAATATGATGTTGGTCTTGAGTTGTAGTTGCTCTTTGTGGACTGGGGAGTGCCCTCAAGGGAGAAGTTGTGTAAAGGTAGATCTCATGCATTCTGATTTCTTTCTTTCAAGGATCAAATTGTCAACCGTTTTGATCATCATAACAAGTTTAGTTGACATCCATTGTTACAAATAGTTACAAAATTTTTTCTTGTGATGAGAACTTTTAAGATCTACTCTCTTAGCAACTTTCATATATATATATAATTATTATTAACTACAGTCACTATGATGTACATTACATCCTTAAGATTTATTTATTTTATACCTAGAAGTTTGTACTTTTTGATGATTTTCACTCATTTCACCCACTCCCTACCCCTAGCCTCTGGTAGTTACCAATCTCAATCTGTTCTCTGTATCTATGAGCTTTTTTTTTCCCTAGACATTACATATAAATGAGATCATACGGTATTTGTCTTTCTGCCTGACTTATTCCACTTGGCATGATGCCCTCAAGGTCCATCCATGTTGTCACAAGTGGTAGGATTTCCGTCTTTTTAATGGCTGAATACTATTCCATTGTGTATACATACTACATTTTCTTTATCCATTCATCTATCAATGAATACTTAGGTTGCTTCCATGACTTGACCATTACAAATAATGCTAATCTCTTTCTTTTAAAAGAGGCCAGTGAAGAAAGATGCCTCCAGGAAATAAGCTCTCTGTCTGGAGACTTTCAATTCTATACTACAATTTAAACCCATATAATAGCTTTAAATGACTCACGGGTCACAGAATTATACAGACAGAGGGATGCACAGGCATTACTGAAGCTGTGTCTGTCCCATCAAACCACAAACGTGGAAGAGGTTTCCTTCCTAGAGCCTTGTGTGCACGTTAGCTACAGTTTTCTTCATTCTGCTTCACCCCTTCAGTTTCCATGGAGCTCACAACTTTTGGTCTGTTTTCTCAGGTTCTCTCACCTTGTTCCAATTTCTGGCATCTGTAGACTCCTGATTCTGCTGCCCTGCCTTCTAAATCATTTTGATTGCTCTGACCCTTAATGCTACATGTCCCCTCAAAATCCGTACACTGAAATCCTAACCTCTAGTACTTCAGAATGCGATTTTATTTGGAGATAGGGTCTTCACAGGGGTAACTACGTTAAAATGAAAACATTAGGGTGGACCCTCATCCAACATTACTAGTATTTTTATAAAAAGGGGGCGTTGGGACACAGAGATGCATAGAAGGAAGATGAGAAGGAGAAATACAGGGAGAAGATGTCCATCTACAGAACAAGGAACAAGACCTGGAGCAGATCCTTCCTCCACAAGAGAAACAAACCCTAGTGACCGATTTCAGGCTTTCAGCCTCCAGAACTGAGACGAAAACTTCTGTTGTTTAAGGGACCCGGTCTGTGCTGCTTTGTTAAGGCAGCTCTGGCAAACTAACACACCTGCCACTTAACAAATAAACAAATCTCCATTCTTCCGTGTGGTTCTGACTCATGGCTTTGTTTCATCTCCTAAGATCCACTGACCCCTCAGCATGGTAAGTGGGCAAAAAAGCAAAACAGCCAAAGATTTGTGTCCTAATTTTTTTTACTCAAGTTGAATGACTTTTCTGATCCTTTGACTCCTTATATATAAGATAAGGATACTGTATCTGTCCTTCCTGTCTGTCTACATAGATAAAGCTCAGAGAGGGTACCACACGGAGACTGCAAAATGCTACCCAAGTCTACAGCATCCAGAATCCCTGCTCTTTATTCATAATAAGCTGCTCCTCTTGCCTATAATTATAACAGAACCCCTGTTAGAGGGGTCTTTGAGGGGATCAAGTGCAGAATTCTCCCCTTTTCAGAGAGACCCTTGCAACCTCCAACTTTGTTTACGTTATTTCTAGTTCAGGAGGTGGGATGTGAGGCAGATGTGAGGAACTGCCCTGCTCAAAAAGAGGGGAATGTGGGGTGATGCTTCCATCCCTCACTATTCGCAAATCTCCAGAGGGTTTAAAAGTAATTCCTCAGACAAGATATTTATGTTTCCCAGGTAATGAGTTACGGGAACCAGCTGTTTTAGAGAACGGACTTTTCAGAAGTGTGTAAGGGAAGGAGAACTTTGGTGACACATCAAACTGTATTAACAACAGTGGAGTCTACTGAATGTGATTTTAAATGTGAAAAAATTAAATGTAGGATGATGCTAACAGCTTTCCAACATATTTTGTATGCTTCTTTGTCTGTTTTTAAGATGATTTTGTTAGTGAGAATTTGAAAAACTGTTTTTTCTAGTCACTAAAATTTTTATAAAATTATTTCTAAACAATATAACTTACTCCCAAATAGCTTACATTCTAGTTGCATAAATTCTTATCCACTTTCAAATGTTACTCAAAAGAACTACATTTTAAAATGATTCTACCCTTTTCACTTCTCTCGAATGCCTCCAGATGGCATTAAAACCCTTTCCCTATTATATTTTGCAGCGAAAAATTAAAAATTAGTAATATTTTTACCATTTAAAACCAATCACATTCTTATATCATTGGAAATCAGGATAATGGAACCACTTAGGACTTTTTTCTTAAGAAAGACAGCATATAACGCAGATCCTTTGTGAAATACATAGCTATCCTACTCAAGCCAAAGGTTCTTTCTAGATCAAGAAACAGATCTTGGTCAAATATACTCAATAAGGTTATATCACAAACTGTCATTTCTAATGAATAGCACGTGAAATGCTTAGTAATAAGAGCACTGGCCCAAATGTATATACATTCATAAAACTGTCTTATAGTAAGAAAATATATTGAACGCCTCAGAAGTGATAGAAATAAGGATTTCTGAGGAGCAATGATCCCTATGGAGCTGAAATTATTTGCTAGCTTGTGAATTCTCTTATTTAAACTTTGGCATATAAATTTGGCATCAAATTAATCATTAAAACATATTTGGATTTCTTGATTATTGAGAGGAAAAAGACAAAACGTAGTGAAGGACATGCTTTAAAAGAGCCTTTTCTTATCTTTTCAAAACTGCATTTGTTAACTCGAAAAAATGAACAAACTCTTGCGCGTCCAGAGGTATCTATAAATGTCTATTTCACATAATTTGGAGGTGAGGTTGCAAATGGCAGGCTTTAAACTGACACAAGTACTTCACGGGTGTGCAGGACAGACAGTCTCCCAGTCTGTGTGAAAAGTTCTGCAATTATTTATGACAACGATGGAAATCTCCGAGCAAATTCCAAAAGGTTTCCTCCCCTCCCCAAATCCATAACACCCTCAAATCTCATGACATTTGTGTTTCAGGAAGGGGAGCCCTGTATTTTCAAGATGACTCTTACCGGGCTAAAGTGTAAGAAAGACCTCAAAATGCACCTGCACCCAAAACCATTTTAAAAGACGTTATGATGAAAAAGAATGACAGGCTTCCTTCCACGACTATTATTACTGCTGTAACAAGATCTCTGCACTGTGTCATACTATAAGCATATTAAAGAACAGCCATCTGGGATAGAAACAGGAAAAAGACTTACGATGTATTCGACGTGCCATTGTCCGGACTCCCTGGCTCAGCACCACCTTTCTCTTAAAAAGGAAGCAGAAAAAAATACGACTGTGTGAGCGTTATGGTCTTTAAGATTTCAGAGAGATTACATATATTTCCATGCTCCTATTAACAATCATTCAAAATGTGCAGCAGGAGGCTTTTAAAACATCTTTTTATTGTCTGAGAACCGGATTTGCAAAATAATTTCTTCTCTGTAATGCAACTGGCCAGGCGCGGGTCTATGAATAGGTGCTAAGGAGCTGTTTGCAAACAGCCAGAGGCTCAGAGCGGAGACCTTGCCAAAAGATGAATATCTTACAGATGGAACCTGTTTCCTTCCACTTCAGCTTACAGAAACTTTAAGGAAATAAATCCATTAGCATTCTACGTGCAAGGCATTTTGAACTTTGATCCTTTCTGCTTACACCAGCCAAACCAGGTCAGGCTGCATCAGAACTTGGAGGAGAGAATTCTGTCGAACACTGAGGCTGCACCATAGGTTATGCGACCCCCAAGGACACACCCCACAGAGAGCCCTGGTGGTTTGGGTCTGCCCAGTTAGTGCAGAATAGGAGGGAAATCCGGAAATCCTTCCTGGCCATCTGAGAGGCTAAAGAAATATTTCTGCCATCTGTGGTCACTGAGGATTTAATGGGCTTTAATTAAGGGAGCCTGGAACCAGTTCACTTTTTGTAGTTTTAAAGGGCAAATTCCTCTTGCAACAGACGTAATGTCATTCTTAGATCCCTGACCCATGATGGTTTGAAACCATTCATCCTCATTTTGTAAGTTGCTTCTTTTTATTTCCTTGAGGCCAGGGGAGGGAAGGGTCGTGACTGCGGTTGTGAGTTAGCTGTGGTTGTGATGGTTACGCAGGGATAACAGTGAAATAAACCCCAGAGAAGGTTATGAGTTGCAAGAGATGGGCCTGATGGTGGTAACTTGCTTTGCTTTGCTAATTCAGGTCAGGCCTGGAGATGTCAGAGAATCCCCTAGTCTACTGTTTAGGGCCCCAGGCCTCTGCCCCAAACAGGGCCCTTTTGTCAGCTGTTGACATTAGCTTACAGTCACTGAGTCTCAGCAGTGACCCCCTAAATCATACGATGAACACATTCCAAAGGTATCATCTAAAGTGAACTTAAAAGTAAATTTTATAATTTTTTTCTCTTTTTCTACCAGGAAACTGGTGAGAGAAAGAAGACGGTTGTATACAGTTCGCACATCTATATCAGATAAGACTTTCTGCTAAAGCGTCTACACGTTGCTGGAACGTCCATGGGGAACAGCCACCTTGTTAAAAAAAAGCCACTATATCTATTTTAACTGCCTCAAGAACAAACGCTGGTTAGACAGACCCCCGTACACATGAAGCCATGTGGCAGCAAAAGAAGAGGCAGCAAGTTAATAAACTTGCTTTTAAAGCTCATGTGTTCACACTGTATTTTGTCTTCCAGGCCAGGTCTGTGGTGTCATCGTTTAGGAGACATGCGAGGCCTTGTCACCTGGCTTCAGTGCTAGAAAACAACCTAATTTAGGACGTTCCAGAATCACTTTCCCACTGAGTAGCCACAGTTCCTGCCAGCATCCCAAAATAGAGAGCTGTGACACCTGCATTAGGTTAAGACAAAACTAAATGGAGGTTTAATTTTTCTCAAACATGTTGATCTTTTTTTTTCTCTCCCTTTCACTTGGAGAAATAAATGGTTACTTTCTCTGGTCTGTCGCCACCAGAAGTCCCCCCACGTACAATCATAATTAATCAAGAATATAAACAGTGCACTCAGCAGCACTGGCGACGGTAAACATACCCCAACAACTTAATGTCAAAAACCCAGCAAATCAATATGAGGCACGAAGGCATTGATTGGATGTTTGAATAAATAAATATGTTTTACCTTCCCCGGCAAGGCTGCCAGGTAACTGGCAGGCTGGGAGGACACAGGCCTTATTGCACGTGGGGTCTGGGGGCTGTGGGCATTGTGGACTGGATCAGCGCGGGGACAAAGCTGCGGTGGATTACCTCTGCTCTTAGCAGCACTGATGTTGTGGCAACAAGGAAAACAGAAGGGGTTCTGGCAAACAGGAAGGATGCAATGGGGCCGAACTGGGCCGATAGGAATGGTCCGGGAGGGAGCGCTCTCTGCTACTTCAGGGCTGATGACGGAGTAACCTTTCTGGGGAAAACTAAGCTCAGTTTGGAGTCAGGGATTGAAACCATGTCTGTCCTGCAGGAAGCAGAAATACAAAATTCTCCCCAACAGCTTGAGCTTTTAGGTGATGCAATTTCTGAAGTTAACTTGAAACGTCTAAGCATATGAACCACGAAGAAGCTCAGCCTCTTTCTCAGGACCCAAGGGAAAATCACACAGCTAAGCTAGAGAAACTTCGCAGTAAGAGATGTTTCATGGGTGCGCAGGGGATGTTTCCCTGCAACCACCTGAGAGAGCTGTCGGGGGCCGTTTTTGTTTTTTCATGACAGATGCCACACTGCCCTCCTTGGGAGGGAACCCGCCTTGATCTTTGGGGCACTGGGCGTACGAGACCGGTGTGGGGGCAGTGTGGTCGTCTGGAGTGTAGAGATAGACTCACAGAGAGGAAGAGAGAAAAAAATGAGCCATGGGAAGAAAACAGGCTCAGATGTGTAAATGCACATGCACGTGTGTACGTATATAGTATGTACGTATAGTACTTTCAGCTTGACAGTCCGTACGGGTCTACCTGCGCCTTCCACGGTACCAAGCACGCACTGCATGCTGAGTGTCTGTCTTCTGTCTGAGGACCTGTCACTAACGTAGAGGCCCACGCTACCACGAGCGAGGAGGAGAGACGTGCACTCACTGCGGAGACGGACGGACAATTTGAGGCATGAAACAGTCTGGTGGCTCCAAAAGGTCACATACAGAATTACAATAGCTACACTTTTAATCCAATAAATGTACCAAGGACTGATACGCCAAGTACTCTGGTAAGCGGAAAGATAGATAATATCTAATTCATGCCCTTTAAACTTAAAATGACTGCACTGCTGGAGTCCGGCCCTCTCCATCAATAGTGCCATGATATGGAGCAAAGAGGAATTTTGAAAAGGAACTCAAAATAGATCCAGGCTGTGTTCTGCTGTGGAGGAAAGTTTTGCTATCCTACTACTTTTCTTTATAATAAAAGTAATCCCTATTCAGGGTTAAAAAAAAATTGAACAGTGGAGAAAAGGTGACGACTTCGCTGGCTTTTGTTTTCAGTTCTATTAGTCCTACAGCCATTATGCTAAGTAATATATTTATTTCTAGATGTGTCAACTTTTAAACAGTACATAATGATTTCTGATACGAAAAAGGAGAGAGAAGGTATTTAATATACTACCACCTCCTTTCCCCTTACAATTTTGGCTAGTTCTGTTATTACTTTTAGGGCCTCTAGTGGGTGTTTTAACTTTAAATAAACTTAAACTTCTGTTTCTTGATTCATCAACTTCTGACAGGACTTCCCTTTCACACCATGTGGGACGAGGAAACTCACCCATCTCAGCTCCCTCCTGCCTCCCCGCCCTCCATCACTCTGCACAGCGACACGTTTCCCCCTACAGAGCCACGATTTAAAATATTTATATCCTATTCAGTAATTATTCATGAATCATCCTCATTAATATTAATTTAATTAATAATTTAATTTTGGGAATTGCCTATAGGCCAAGGAGAAAAATTGTAAACCAATAACGGAATTTGTAATACCATAACAATATAAATATCAGTCTCTAAGGGACAGAGTAGGGGGACTGGACCTGAACAGAAGGACTGCCACTAAACTTGAATGAGGGCAAGTGTTCCCAGAATTTATGTCATACGGATTCTCATTCTCACATTTCGGCACCTCACAGGTTAATCTGTCTCAAGTGAAGGCTTTTCCTAAAAAGAAGTTAAGCAGAGTTTGCATTTAATGTGTAGAAAAATGTACATTTCATATATATGTAGTTTTTTAAAAGTTAAATGAGTTAACTGTGAAAACCCCTTCCAGGGATGGAAATGGGACATTGATGAGAAATGACCCAGCAGCTCCTGGGCACGCACGCTCTCCCTGCCCTCCCGGCCGGCTACCTAGCGATGGAATTTTGTATTCATCTCTCTCCTCCTTGACAGTGTCGGCTACCGGGTATTCATTTGTAAATAAAAGAGTCTTTAATTTTTCCTGACTTTAAATTCCACATGAATGGAATCATGCCGTACGCATTCTCCCGGGACTCACTCCTGTCGTTCAACCGTGTGGTTTTTAGATTCAGCCGACATCATGTACGTGCCTCTGGCTCCTTCACCCTCACTCTGTGGTCACCCTCACATCCCCTTATACAAATCGGCCGTTTTCCTTTATTTGACTTTTTTTTTTTCTGTTTTATTTAAGAAACACATCAGAAAGATGTTCTCCACGGTCTTTTGAAAGTGTGTAATTTTACTGTTCACGTGTAGGTCTTTTGCAAATACTTGGAACAGTTTTTGTATATGATGTGAAGTAGGAGTTAATCTCCTTTTTCTCTTACCTCCTCCCCTCCCCCCCAAAACAACAACAACAACAAAGTTTTTCCTTTTTCTCCCTGGAGATAACCAAGCATTCCGGTACCAGCTTTAAGAAGCCCATTCTTCCTCCACTGGTCTGCATCATCAGCTCTGCCACAAATGTAGTTTTCATACATCTGCGGTTCTGTTTCTGAGTCCTCTGTTGTTTCACTGCTCAACTTGTCTGTCACTGTCACGTTACTCAGATAAACGCTCATTGATTCATTCATTGGTCAGGTAAGGCTCCAACCTGATTCGTTTTCAGGGGTGTCTGAGCTATTTTTGGCTCTTTGTTTAATCAAGTCAATTTGTTCCTGTTTGTTTCATTATTTTCCTTTTCCCTCTTCCTGGGTCATGACCTTCCCTGCCCAGGATTATCTAACAGCAGGGTCCTAGCCACACTCCATTTTCCAGAAACTCAGCTGAACTTCTGGTTTGTTGACGACATTCTTTCCTGCTCTCAGTGCTGTTATGGATTTATTTCCATTACTACAGCTTTCTGGTTATTTAAACGGAGATTCTGAAGGGAGGGAAAGAAGTGCTCACGCTCAGTCTGCCACTTGACCAGGACATTCTCATAACGTAAAAAAAAAAGTAGACATACGTCACCTATTTTAATACTTGAGCTTCTCAATACTTACTAAGCTTCTATTTTACAATATTAAATTAAATTAATTGGTAACAGCAAACTGTCTAAAGTATCTATCTTTTAAAAGATTGGCATTAAAAAATCATTTTCTGTTTAATTTCTACACTCTTTCCTTTCAGTATCTTGGTAACAGAGCTTTTCCGAATTCTAAAATGAAAAAAGCACAGACCTGAAGTGGGGAAGAGGTTAATCCGTCAAACAACACATACGCGTTCTGTTTCTCTAAAGTTCAGTTTTTGCCTATTTTCTACATATTTACTGGAGCCATCATGCCCCAAACTGTAGTGATTCCAAACCAAATACAAGAAACAGCACAGGAAATGCTGGTGGGACCAGCTCTCCTGAAGTTTCAAATGTGCTACCATCTACAGAGGACACTCCAATTTTTGAACAGTGATATTATCTTTTTATGGATGTGCTTGGTTTGGGTAGGGGAGATTTATTTGAAAAATACACACACACACAAAATCCCCTTGCCCCTAGGGAAAAGAAAGCCAATCCCTAATTTCCTTGGACGATGAACTGTGGAGGGTTTCATGCCACAATGTGCAGGTGCCACTCACAGCCCCCCAGCAGACAGGTCTGCCTTTACATGATCTCAGCCGCAGCACCAGCAAGTCAATGTCTGCTGTAAAAATATGCCAAGTGCAAAGATCACAGCATGTAGCTCTTGGACAAGAAGCCAATCTCACACCAACGTGACAGAAGCAG